TACCTAGACCCCAGGCTCGTAACACCAATCCATCTTGTCTGTCTGTTGCTCCGGCTCTCATTGCCACAGGAGCAGTAGCAAGTACCGACAGAGGAGTGTTCCGTAAGTCAGGGGAAGTGTTCCATTAGTCAGGGGAAGTGTTCCATACAACGGCCGCCGGACTGTTCCAGCTCTCGTGGCCGCTGGAGCAGAAAACAGGAACAACGGGCAACCCGCCACTCTAAAATGTTCCTCTTGCCCGCAATGTTTTCAAATTCAGGGACCTCTTCTCTAGCTATCCTGAATTGGCATCGGATAAGGATTTGGGATGGGACGAGGGAAAGGAATGGTCCCCCAGCCACTTGGTGGACGGTCGGGGATTGAACGCCGACCTGCATAACGCGAGACCGTCGCTACTAAAACTTTTCTGGGTAAGTTTTGATTCCTGCTCATATCATATTCTACTGACGTTCTTGCCTGAAAATTCGAAATTATTTATTGAAAATTGAAGCTTCGCCTGATGTATTATTTATACAAGAATGTATTTTTATTAAGATACATCTTTTATAGATGGTTAAATAAGTTAAAAAAAAAAGAAGTTAAACAGGTCACAAACAAAAAAAAAAAAAAGCCTATTTTGGCCAAGATTTCTACATGTCCAATAAACTATTTTATATATAATTATTTTATACTTCTTGGGACATAAACACACATTAGTTATATAAAAGCTGCTATCTATATAACCATTTATTGACCATATTTATATAGGAGTGTATTGGCCATATTTATATAGAAGATTATTGGCCACTTTTGTTTAATATTTTATTGGTCATAATCAGTTTGGACTGTGGATGAAACAATATGTGTAATATACTTAGACGGGATATGCTGAAGCCACTGATATACTTTGTGATATCTGAGGTATCCTGATTGGTAGTTTTAATATGCTAATATGTCCAATTTAATTTGCTAATTTAATATGTCAGTAAGAATATATTTTTTGTTGGTTGACATAAGATACCTTTAGATATATTAAGACATCTGAAGATATTATAAGATATCTTCAGATATAATAAGATATCTTCAGATATATTAGGATAAGATATCTTCAGATATATTAAGATAAGATATCTTGAGATATATTGATTAGCACAATATCTACATATATAGTAATAAATAAGATATCTTCAGATGTACTGACATAAGTAAGATGGTTTTAGAAATACTGAGATGAGATATCTTGAACACCGTGGCTTGTTACAGAGAAGACAGAAGACCAAACCAGGTATGTACCTGGATTGTACCTGTATAGGGTTCTGAGAGTTGTTCTCCTCCCCAAGCCCGGTGCGGGGCCAGGCTTGACTTGTGAGAGCTTGTATGTCGACTGCCTTTGTCCAGAGAGCAGACTAGAGCTGACCAAAGCCTCTGGTGAGAGCGCCAAGCCTCTCGTTCTTCTCCCGCCAAATGAGCCAGGATCGAACGTGCCTGATTGGCTGGCTTATCTCGAGGGCCCCGGATGAGAGGCCTTCGATCCCCGCCGTTGATTGGCTAGCTTCTGTGAAGGGCTGGGGACGAGAGGTTCTTCAGGCGCCAATACGTCATTTCCCGCCCTGGAGGGTGACGTAGAGGGTCTTCCGGTCCCCCTCGGCCTCCACCACAACACACTCAGAGTAATAAATGGTCACCCCTCGCGCCGGTTTCTTTTATTTGATATTTTTGCCTGATTTTATATTCATCAATTCATGTTTCTTCTCGCTGGACTTTTTTTTTTTATATATTGTGCTGATTTAATTTAAGATTTTCGTGTCTTGTTTAAATTTTTCGAACGTTTTTGTTTTGTTTTTAAGTTTTGTAACCGGGTGGATGCGTGTTTAAATTTGTGGAATTTTGGCGCGAATTTCGAAGGAGAATTTTGGCGGGAATATCGCAGAAGAATTTTGGCGCGAATCTTGTAGAAGTGTTTTCTTGGAACACCTGTTTACCGGTGTCTGGGATAGGGAAGATGTTGATCTCGGGAGCACATATTGACTGGTTAGGTGTTGTTAGATGATGGTGATGGTAACGGCGCTGTTGATGGTGTTGTGGAAGATGACGTTGATGGTGATAGCGTTGATAATGACGTCAATAATGACGACGTTGATATAATGATGCCACTGATGATATTTATAATAATAATAATAACGCCCAGGCACACTGAAACCTCATAACAACACCAGTAATATTAATTACACTCTAATGACCTTCAATATAATGACCTAATGTACCAAACACGTCAGCAAGAAATACTCTCCTCTCTCTACGAGAGGAAAGAAATACTTCTCATCAGCCAGAAATACTTCCCTTCCCCTCAACACACTTTCCAATTTTTGCATAAAAGAAATGGTTACCTTAAGGTGATTCCGGGGCTTAGCGTCCCCGCGGCCCGGTCCTCGACCAGGCCTCCTTTTTGTTACATTTCCTCCAGGAAGCAGCCCGTAGCAGCTGTCTAACTCCCAGGTACCTATTTAATGTTAGGTGAACAGGAGTATCAGGAAACGTGTCTATTCCTTCTGACCTTTATGGTGGAATTGAACCCAAAGGTCTCTCCATTGTCAGCCGAGAACGTAGACTACTGTGCTATTATTCATTACCCAGAGTTAATGAATGACCCAGAGAGTCATTACCCACCAGACATTCCTCATTAACAAGCAGTAGTGCCCCACTAACATGGTAAATATGTGCACATTTAACATCCATCTTAACCAATTGGGACGTTGGTCAGTTAGGCTGCGCAGGAGTGACCAGCAGAGTCTGCGCATCACTCGTTACGAGGGAACAAGGTTTGCATTGTCAACAATGATAGTTAAACCCCGTGCCCTCTCCTGGAGCATACCCATGCCCTAAGAACCCTCCCTGCCCACCCCACCAGCATACCCATGCCCTAAGAACCCTCCCTGCCCTCTCCAGGAGCATACCCATGCCCTCAGAACCCTCCCTGCCCACCCCACCAGCATACCCATGCCCTAAGAACCCTCCCTGTCCTCTCCAGGAGCATACCCATGCCCTCAGAACCCACCCTGCCCACTCCACCAGCATACCCATGCCCTCAGAACCCACCCTGCCCACTCCACTAGCACACCCATGCCCTAAAAACCCTCCCTGCCCACCCCACCAGCATACCCATGCCCTAAGAACCCTCCCTGCCCTCTCCAGGAGCATACCCATGCCCTCAGAACCCACCCTGCCCACTCCACCAGCATACCCATGCCCTTAGAACCCACCCTGCCCACTCCACCAGCATACCCATGCCCTCAGAACTCACCCTGCCCACCCCACCAGCATACCCATGCCCTAAGAACCCTCCCTGCCCTCTCTGGGAGCATACCCATGCCCTCAAAACCCTCCCTGCCCTCTCTGGGAGCATACCCATGCCCTCAGAACCCACCCTGCCCACCCCACTAGCATACCCATGCCCTCAGAACCCACCCTGCCCACTCCACTAGCGTACCCATGCCCTCAGAACCCACCCTGCCCACCCCACCAGCATACCCATGCCCTCAGAACCCACCCTGCCCACTCCACCAGCATACCCATGCCCTAAGAACCCTCCCTGCCCACCCCACCAGCGTACCCATGCCCTCAGAACCCACCCTGCCCACTCCACTAGCATACCCATGCCCTAAGAACCCACCCTGCCCACTCCACTAGCGTACCCATGCCCTCAGAACCTACCCTGCCCACCCCACCAGCATACCCATGCCCTCAGAACCCACCCTGCCCACTCCACCAGCATACCCATGCCCTAAGAACCCTCCCTGCCCACCCCACCAGCGTACCCATGCCCTCAGAACCCACCCTGCCCACTCCACCAGCGTACCCATGCCCTCAGAACCCACCCTGCCCACTCCACCAGCGTACCCATGTCCTCAGAACCCACCCTGCCCACTCCACTAGCGTACCCATGCCCTCAGAACCCTCCCTGCCCACTCCACTAGCGTACCCATGCCCTCAGAATACACCAGCATACCCATGCCCTCAGAACCCTCCCTGCCCACCCCACCAGCATACCCATGCCCTCAGAACCCACCCTGCCCACTCCACCAGCGTACCCATGCCCTCAGAACCCACCCTGCCCACCCCACCAGCATACCCATGCCCTCAGAACCCACCCTGCCCACTCCACTAGCATACCCATGCCCTAAGAACCCACCCTGCCCACTCCACTAGCGTACCCATGCCCTCAGAACCTACCCTGCCCACTCCACTAGCATACCCATGCCCTAAGAACCCACCCTGCCCACTCCACTAGCGTACCCATGCCCTCAGAACCTACCCTGCCCACCCCACTAGCGTACCCAGCGCCAACGTGGCCCCCACCGGCCGAGTAGCGATTGAATGCGTGTGTTTAGCGTCGAGTGAGTTTGCTGTGTAATTAATGAATGATTAATAGGCAGCTTCAGGTGTTGGGGAATGGAGGTAATGCTACTTTGCTTAGTTCTTCTTCCACCAGAGGAGGAGGAGCAGGCTGTAGAGAGATGCTAAACAGGAAGATGGGGATGCTGGGGGTTAAAGATGAGGATGCTGGGGGTTAAAGATGGGGATGCTGGGGGTTAAAGATGGGGATGCTAGGATTAAAGATGGGAGGGGGGGAGGGAGGGAGGGAAATGTGGATGTAGAGAGAGATGAAAAAAGTGACCCATAATCAAAATTGCCGAAAGAAATCAGTGAGAAAGGAAGAGCTGGATAATGTATCTTGAGATTGATTTAGACAAATTTAGAGAGATATTAGACACCAGTGTACATAGCCCTCTTCATCGATTTCAATCGTTTCTTTCATGTTGGTTTAATACATTCAGGCTTTCCAAGAGAAGAGATTAGGTTTAATGGAAATAAAACAGTGATATCGTGCGCGGTTCAGTTGAAAATACACGAAAATCGCTCGTTCGTTTTAGGGTGAAAAATCTGTAAGATATCTCTCAAGACGGTAGTGTTGATCTTGTCAGAGGCTCTGTGTTCAGTCATGCTCTGTGTGGGGCTCTAGCTCACGGCTCAGGCTCTGCAGGGCCCTTGGTGGTACCTGGTCTTGGTACACCTGTTAGAATACTTTGTTTCATCGCTTCGTACCGGCGTACTGTCGGCTGGTCGTACCTGCGTACCGTCGGCTGGTCGTACCTGCGTACCGTCGGGTGGTCGTACCTGCGTACCGTCGGATGGTCGTACCTGCGTACCGTCTGGTGGTCGTACCTGCGTACCGTCGGATGGTCGTACCTGCGTACCGTCGGCTGGTCGTACCTGCGTACCGTCGGGTGGTCGTACCTGCGTACCGTCGGATGGTCGTACCTGCGTACCGTCGGATGGTCGTACCTGCTTACCGTCGGTTGGTCGTACCTGCGTACCGTCGGATGGTCGTACCTGCGTACCGTCGGATGGTCGTACCTGCGTACCGTCGGCTGGTCGTACCTGCGTACCGTCGGATGGTCGTACCTGCGTACCGTCGGCTGGTCGTACCTGCGTACCGTCGGATGGTCGTACCTGCGTACCGTCGGTTGGTCGTACCTGCGTACCGTCGGATGGTCGTACCTGCGTACCGTCGGATGGTCGTACCTGCGTACCGTCGGCTGGTCGTACCTGCGTACCGTCGGCTGGTCGTACCTGCGTACCGTCGGGTGGTCGTACCTGCGTACCGTCGGGTGGTCGTACCTGCGTAACGTTGGATGGTCGTACCTGCGTACCGTCGGCTGGTCGTACCTGCGTACCGTCGGATGGTCGTACCTGCGTACCGTCGGATGGTCGTACCTGCGTACCGTCACCTGGTCGTACCTGCGAAACATCGTACAGCTGTTAGATCGTATAGACGTGGTCAGAACGTGTCGACAGGGTCGTTGAGTCGTATAAAATATGTTAGATCGTATATAGAAGATGTTATATGATATCGTATATCGTTATATATCGATAATATCGATATCGATATTATATATCGATAAGGTTATATCGTATTGCCAAGGGTGTTATATAACATGTTTTTGCATATTAATACACATGTGCTGGTGTATATAAGGCGTATGGAAGGTGTATGGAAGCGTAGAATTAAACCTCTCTATCTCATCCTTCGAGTCTAACCACTTGGGCTGGACGGTAGAGCGACGGTCTCGCTTCATGCAGGTCGGCGTTCAATCCCCTGACCGTTCACCAAGTGGTTGGGGCACCATTCCTTTCCCGCCGTCCCATCCCAAATCCTTATCCTGACCCCCTTCCAAGGGTTATATAGTCGTAATTAATAGCTTGGTGCTTTCCCCTGATAGTTTCCTTCCCTTCTCATCCTTGGAGGTCAACCTCTCGTTATCTTGCAAGTTCATTATGGAGGGAATTTTCAATTTTCAATTTTCAATTTCTTTCTTCATTGTGCACCTCCTTACCCATCCCATAGGCAATGGTGGTATGGGTTACAGAGGCACATAATGGGCTCAGGAACAATCAATCATTTACATATATATACAATCATTTACACAAATATACAATCATTTATACAAATACATTGATATATTAGTAATCTTTTTATATCAAATGTGATTCAACAAGAGGCTCACAACAGTCACTATACAAGGCACTTTACATCTATGGTGAGTCACACAGTTACTAGTCTTGCTCCACACCCACCCAACTGGGCGGCAGCTTTACAGTCATGTGCTCCACACCCACCCAACTGGGCGGCAGCTTTACAGTCATGTGCTCCACACCCACCCAACTGGGCGGCAGCTTTACAGTCATGTGCTCCACACCCACCCAACTGGGCGCAGCTTTACAGTCATGTGCAGGCTGCACCTACAGTAAGCAAATTTTGGATACTTCGCTAAGATTCCTGGCAGCACATCATTATGAATGAAGTACTTACACATTTCTTGGACACCATTGATGGTGTTATCTCTGAATTCCGCGATTTTTTCACATTCCATTATATAATGACGCAAAGTATGCGAATAGTTCTGCTGACAGAGTTTACATTTAGTCAAATCTACATCAGCAGATGTTACAAACACCCAGATGTACTTGTAGCCGAGCCTAAGCCTAGCAGTGGTAACATCTAGAAGTCTGCTAACATTATTGGATGACCCATAGACGTGCGCTACTTCCTGCATAATAGAATGATGATAGATGGAGCAACTGGTGTGAATTTCACTATGCCTCAACCTAGATCAAGTCTACGAGACTTAATCCAGTTAGGATCAGTCCAAACTGGAGACAATCCAGCTCGGAAAATTCAGCCAATCAGAGAGAGAGAAAGGAAGATATGCAATCGTGACTCTGTTAAGCGGAGATATTCAGCGGGAAGGGCTTAGTTAAATACACGGTTCGCTGCTATAAGGGCGCATCCACCCAATATTGAGATCTTGACAAATACGAACCAGTCTACCATGAAGGACCGTGGACCAGTAGACGACCTCTCACCCATGCCTTGAGGGCCAACCTCTCACCCATGCCTTGAGGGTCAACCTCTCACCCCATGCCTTGAGGGTCAACCTCTCACCCCATGCCTTGAGGGTCAACCTCTCACCCCATGCCTTGAGGGTCAACCTCTCACCCCATGCCTTGAGGGTCAACCTCTCACCCCATGCCTTGAGGGTCAACCTCTCACCCATGCCTTGAGGGCCAACCTCTCACCCATGCCTTGAGGGCCAACCTCTGACCCATGCCTTGAGGCCAACCTCTCACCCCATGCCTTGAGGGCCAACCTCTCACCCATGCCTTGAGGCCAACCTCTCACCCATGCCTTGAGGGTCAACCTCTCACCCCATGCCTTGAGGGTCAACCTCTCACCCCATGCCTTGAGGGTCAACCTCTCACCCCATGCCTTAAGGCCAATCTCTCACCCATGCCTTGAGGCCAACCTCTCACCCATGCCTTGAGGCCAACCTCTCACCCCATGCCTTGAGGCCAACCTCTCACCCATGCCTTGAAGGCCAACCTCTCACCCTTGCCTTGAGGCCAACCTCTCACCCATTCCTTGAGGCCAACCTCTCACCCATGCCTTGAAGGCCAACCTCTCACCCTTGCCTTGAGGCCAACCTCTCACCCATGCCTTGAAGGCCAACCTCTCACCCATTCCTTGAGGCCAACCTCTGAGCCGTCCCTTGAGGCCAACCTCTCACCCATTCCTTGAGGCCAACCTCTGATCCGTCCCTCGAGGCCAACCTCTGATCCGTCCCTCGAGGCCAACCTCTGATCCGTCCCTCGAGGCCAACCTCTGAGCCGTCCCTCGAGGCCAACCCCCCCCCCCCCCATCAAAGAGCCTCATTGCCCCATCACCAGCTGTGGGTCCATCCTTCAGCGCTGGATGGTGGCTGAGGGTCGCTGGCCGAGGCTCCCCGTCGCCTTGAGACCACACTCCTGGTTTCTAAAGGTCCACTTGAAGCTTCCACTCTACATTTTGAGGCCCCTTCTTCAGGAGCTCAAGGTGTACCTTGAAGAATTTGACTTGACACTTGTGGTGGGTGGGCCCCGTCGCAGGTAAACACGAGCGGGCGGGGAGAGAGTCGTACATCAGAGGGTATTGTTGTACCAATCTACGGTATTGTTGTACCAATCTACGGTATTGTTGTACCAATCTACGGGAGATGCTGCAATACCTCTAATCTCATCTCTGCCGAGATGATTGTCCTCGTCGTCTTGTGTGATGCTGTGTAGTCGGCTCGTGAGACTAGGGCCCCAGGCTTCAAGTATTTACTCTTACGAAACCTATATATCTTCCACCCCATCATGGCGGCTTTTGTTTACATCTATTGAACCGTATACGAGCTTGGAGAGTTTACAACTCGAGGTTGTTATTGTTATAGACAGCCACGTGGTGCTCCGGAGCTCATAAACTGTTTAATAAATATATATACTAAGCTGCCATAACGAGAAAAGATGTACAGGTTTCGCCAGTAGTTGTATAAATGTTTGAGGACTCCTGGTCTTGGTTGGAGGTCCACTACCGTCTGTCTCTTCGCAATCTCTTACAAGACGGAGCTTAAAATCACAGACAGGTCAAAGGTCATGATTTTCGTTTTCCGTTTCTCATTTGTTAGTCTGTTCCCATTACCACCAGGGGGCCACCTGACAGTGTTCCCATTACCACCAGGGGCCACCTGACAGTGCCAACATTACCACCAGGGGGCCACCTGAAAGTGTTCCCATTACCACCAGGGGGCCACCTGACAGTGCCCACATTACCACCAGGGGCCACCTGACAGTGTTCCCATTACCACCAGGGGGCCACCTGACAGTGTTCCCATTACCACCAGGGGCCACCTGACAGTGTTCCCATTACCACCAGGGGCCACCTGACAGTGTTCCCATTACCACCAGGGGCCACCTGACAGTGTGCACATTACCACCAGGGGGCCACCTGACAGTGTTCCCATTACCACCAGGGGGCCACCTGACAGTGCCCACATTACCACCAGGGGCCACCTGACAGTGTTCCCATTACCACCAGGGGGCCACCTGACAGTGTTCCCATTACCACCAGGGGGCCACCTGACAGTGTGCACATTACCACCAGGGGGCCACCTGACAGTGTTCCCATTACCACCAGGGGGCCACCTGACAGTGTTCCCATTACCACCAGGGGCCACCTGACAGTGTTCCCATTACCACCAGGGGCCACCTGACAGTGTTCCCATTACCACCAGGGGGCCACCTGACAGTGACCACATTACCACCAGGGGGCCACCTGACAGTGTGCACATTACCACCAGGGGGTCACCTGACAGTGCCAACATTACCACCAGGGGGCCACCTGACAGTGTTCCCATTACCACCAGGGGCCACCTGACAGTGCCAACATTACCACCAGGGGGCCACCTGACAGTGTGCACATTACCACCAGGGGGCCACCTGACATTGCCAACATTACCACCAGGGGCCACCTGACAGTGCCAACATTACCACCAGGGGGCCACCTGACAGTGTGCACATTACCACCAGGAGGCCATCTGACAGTGTTCCCATTACCACCAGAGACGGGTATGGGGTCCACTACCACCCACGGAATGGGTATGCGGTCCACTTCCGGCCACGGGATGGGTTTGGGGTCCACTACCATCCACCGGATGGGTATGGTATCCACTACCACCCATAGGATGGGTATGGTGTCCAATACCACCCACGGGATGGGTATGGTGTTAACTACCACTGGATGGACCCCATACACTGGATGTGTATGGGGTCCACTACTGCCAACAGGATGGGTACGGGGTCCACTACCATCCACAGGATAGGTCTGGCATGCATAATATATGAACAGATCATCGGTCAAAAGCATTAGCTGTTTCTAATGATGACACAGTCTCTGCTTCCCACATCAGTAATATTGGGATTGCTTTTTATAGAACCAAAAGTTCCACAGCGGCGGCGATGTCTCAGACAATAGAATGTAAACAATTGAATTATAATCGTTATCCCTGTCCGTTTTCTGTATCTGCTAATTACGTTCGTCTGCCGCAAGATGGCTCTGAATGTAGGTGTCATGGCCTCTGAGTTTACCTGAATTTACCTGAGAGCCACTAACACCAGTAGCTCGTACAACCTACAATATTTACCTGACTCCAGGTGACTTATTTACTGCTAGGTGGATAGAGGCACCAGGTGAAAGGACCTTTGTTTCCAACCATTACCCGGGAATTGAACCTGGATGCCTGTTGTGAGTTGTGGACGCAGCCTACTGTGATACAAGACCATGTATTACTACCATGTATCATTGTCATACATCCATGTATGGGGTCCACTACCGCTGACCATCCTGTGGGTGGCAGTGGACCCCCATATCCATCCTGTGGGTGGTAGTGGACCC